TTACTTGATCTAGGAGTTCTCTTGTCTGCTGGATTGGGTTCAAAATTACAAGGCTCCGGAGTTAAACATTAGTAGTAGTAAACTCGAAATCTGGTGGGTTGCTCAATGATTGTTATAAAAAAAACTAATAATTTGGCCACGATAGCTTGGTTGATGGTAGGACTATGGACTCGTGTTCGTGAGAATGGGAGTTCGAATTGAGCCGGCCCAAGTATAAAATGGTGACTGGTGCATGTTAAATCTGTCGGGGTCATAAACTCCTCCGAGTTCTCTTAACAATTCAATACCTCTGGGTATTGATCCAGGAGTTTCCTTCTCTTCTGGATTGGTTTCAAAATTTCAAGACTACGTAGTTAAACATTGGCTCCAAATTGAGTCAGTCTTTCAATGGCGATTATTAAAAAAAAACTAATTATCAAACTGCATTTTCTTGTATTTTTAATAACTCCTTGCATATTTTCTACACACCTTCATAATTTTATGTTTCTAAGTCTAACANAAGGTAACAAAAATTGAAAATGTATCACGAACATTAACGGGAAAATGGCCGTCCGCGCGGACGTCGGATTCGAGAAATTCGTTGTCCGCGGAGAATTTTTGAGCCCTGCCTTATTGAGTCAAATAAGCAGGGTAAGCCCACATTTTCTTAATTTTGCTTATTATTAACTCTCTAATTTTGTTATTTACTTTATCAATAAATTTAACAAATGACAAGAGTTTCCAATTTAATAATTATCTTCTCTAGTCACACAAATGCATTAATGTTTTAACACTAAACCTTCAATAGCGGACAATTGACTATTTTTGAGAAACAAAAAAGTTCTTTTTTCAACATCTTTTTTTTTCCTAGTAATCATAAGGCACGAAATTATTTTTGGCTCCAAGTGGCATTAGATAATTATTTCTTTTATGGATGATGAAATATGTACAATACCAAGGATGTTATAAATGTGAAACAGAATCTCGAACACTTCTGGTGTATTTCTCCGTTTATGTTGATCGACGAATTCTGTACCTCAGCTCAAAGTATTTTTTCAGGCCTATTTTCTAATTATTATTGTTATTAGGTTGATTCAGGCACATTTTGCTTACAGCTTCGAAATAAGTATTTAAACAAGTCTGTATGATAATCGTTAAAAAAAGTTTTCAAAATACTCAAGAAACAAAGAATCAAGACTCAATTCTGTTAGTTGACTGGGGAGGCAAATCTGAAAGCTTTAAAGAAATTTCATATTCAACGTTTTTCAAAAATGCTAAATCTGTCACTCAATCTATTTTAATACAATAATTTATATTGTATGTCGTGGTCTCCTAATGTGTAAAATCGGGGTGAGCGTAGCGTTTTTTAAAGGTGCTTTTTTTTTCATTGGGTGTTTTTAAAAAGTGCTTAATTATTCCTTTTCTAAAATGAGATTTTTTCTTTACCATATTGATTTTCGACACGAATTATTCAAAAAGACGTTCTATTCAACGTTTTCATAATTTATTCAACACCAATCTATTTCGGCGTACCGTGGGTCCGTAGCGTATAAAAACACCATTCGTTTTACATGTTTGATAAAATACTTGCTGGTCCACCTGTGCGTGTACTGAGCTAGATTCAGTGAGAAGATTTTTGCCTTCTCATATGCAACTCTGCTGCATTTTGCAGGAGATACTCAATTTTAGGCTTCATTTTCTGCCCTTTGGAATCAAACCAAAAAATCTCAATCATCAAGTATATGTATTAGTACTTTAGTTGGTCAACTTTCTAGTCTATACAGCTGAACATCAATCGAAAGAACAATTTCGAATATCGGTCTTATTCATACAGAACTGAAAAATGAACTTAGAGTACAGGGGGCTTCAAAACTATTTTTTTTGTTTGGGGAAAAGTGAAAAAATGGAAGTAAATGAAAATTGATTTTATATATAAGGAATGTTAAGTGTTTTTTATATGTAAGATTATTGTTTTTATGTTTTTGTTTTCAATAATTAAACAAATTAAGAGATTTTATAAATTGCAATTTGACACATTTTATTTATAATTATTTCATATTTTACACTCCAAAATTTGGGTTCTTGATAGCAATTTTCAAAATAAAAGGAGTTTTATGTTAAAATAATTCAAAAACATAATTAATGAATTTTACATGCATGTTAATTTAAAAATACTTCATATTTATAATAGGTAATAGTTATCCTTACAAGAAATTTTGGGTTTTTGACAATTGTCAAAAGTTTTTTTTTTTTTAAAAAAAGACAAATAAAACTGCCAATTGTCAAAAACTTGCCAACCTTGCCTTATTATGATATTTTTTTTAAGTGCTTAAAATATTTTTGAGTGCTTGAAAAAAGCTTATTTTTTGTTGAAAAATCCGCCCTGTAAAATGCAGTTTGAATTTCTGTGTTTGGCAGGTCTGGTTTATGAAAAGCGTGAACCGGCTTGGTATTTTAGGATTAGGCAGTTTTATCATTGAAATTGTAATAAAATTTACTTGCAATTTTATCCATAAGATTTTTCTGTAATGCATAAGCTCTAGAAGATCGTGTGAGCCAAAACCAATGTAAGAAAATTAAGATAACTAAAGCAAGGGTTGCGATGTTTTCATTGTTTAAGCTTAAGTTAAATGGATTTATAAATGTAAACAGTACAATAAAAAAAATAGACGTAATAAAATCTGCAGTAACCTGAATTTTCACCACTACTACGCCCTGTGCTTAGCTTTATATTTTTACCATACAAATTACTAGTATAGTTATTATAACAATATCCAAAATTTTTCTAAATAAAATGTTGTATTCTCATAAGTATAAAACAAAACCTCACAAAAAAAATTGAGGGAAACTTAAACATGAATTTCCGACTCAAAAAAGGGTTGTAACCGCAATCTGAAAAATGTGATTATAATAATTGAACGAGAAAAGCGGTTGACGCCTTAATGCTAATTTCTCATATTCTGTATATTGTCTTATCTCTGAAACTGTCTTACTGAACAAGGCAAAGCATGCTATAATAAATTTCGTTTATCCGTAGATGCTAAATATATAAAACGTAATCAGTGAAACTTCCAGGATGGAATTTTTTGCGTAGACTTAGTGTTGAAGAAAACTTGTAGAAGAGACCATCAAAACCTCTCCTAGAGACCTAGCAAACCTCCACACCAAATGCGGAAAGCTCAAATAAGGAAACACAAAAATAAATAAATAAATATCGAAACAAAATATATTAATAAAATAAATATGTAGAGTCATGTGTGTTCAAAATATCTGTGAGTGGCTCTTATATAGAGGGCTCTTTTTAACAGTCTCGAAAGAGATTGACAACCTCATGTTGCGGTCAAAATACACTAAAAACGATGCTATCAATGATTTATTTTTAGAGATAAATTAGGAAAAAAAAAAGCTAGTTTATAAAAACTAAGTATCTTAAACAAACAACTATCTTCTCATTTTTTATTGAAGTAAACTAATTTTTATAATATAAAATTTAATGCAAATTTAGTGAAAACATAATTGTTTATTTTTTTAAAATAGTTCTATCATACACATAATTTGTTTTTACACAGTTATATCAGATGTGGTTATTTTTTATAAACGATAAATTTAGCTCAGCGATCCATTTTTTATGACGCCAACACGGGCATTTCCGCATCAAGAAAATGACATCTGGTAAAATTAAAATCGCTTGCGAAAAGTCTGGTACCTCCGATAACATTTTGATGTCAATGGAGGTAACCCCTCAAGAACGACCAACCTCCATTAACGACCATTTTATCTTTTGTGGAATAGAGAATGGTTGCTCCAGAGATTTTTCACTATATGTAAAACAAAACTTTTTTTTATAATTCATATTTTTTTAAATTTCTTATAGAACTTTGAAAGTTTTAAACTAGTTTATAACTTTTTTATTTTATAATTCATATTTTTTTCATTTCTTAAAGAACTTAGAAAGTTTTAAACTTGTTTATTCTGTGATTAGTTAATTTATTTATTTTTTAATTTTCTTCTTTGTGTTGATTCATTTTCATAAGCTTAAAAAAAAAAGAATATTTTTCATTCTAGTTTTGTTACAGAGTTTTTCGGTCAGTGAGAAAATTTAAACTAAAGTTATGATAAATTTAATGCAGTATTTAACATTCTGAACATTTTAAAGTTGTGAAGCAACCAAGTGTAAACTATACAAATGTATTACTTCATGCATTTAAATACTATAAGAACTTTACTGTCGCAGATCAACACAGAAGTTTCTGCTAGTATGGCTTTTAGTTATTCATGATATGCATCGATAATAATGATATAGTTTTTTTTTCTTTTATTCTTGTTGGAAAATAGTCTTTTCCATAACATATCAAGAACAGCTTTAAAATTTTTCTCAGCTATAAAAGCAGGGAGAAAAAAAAAAACGTTTAGTGCATTATTATTTAATGTAAGTTTACTGTCTGAATCTTTTATAACATGTTAACAGATAAAACTTATAGGTTTTAATCTATTTTCTTGACTAATTTATGGAAAACAAAAATGAAGATTTTTATGCCTGTAATGGTCATAGGACAAAGGAAGTCTTGGCGTATGAAGAAACTTTTCAACTAAAATATTGAGTTTTCTAGACTTAATTTTTGACGACATCAGATAACATTCATAGTAATTTAAGAAAATCAGCAGCTATTTTCTTCACCTATTATTTATAATGTAAGAAATGGTGCAAAAATATGTTTTTTTTTCTTAATCAAAAACACATTTTTTAAAATAAAAACGGCAAATATTATATATTTAGGGGTCATTGTTTAGGATAGGTTTTAGCTTGGATTGGCAAGAGAAAAAGACTCTTTTTCTTGGTCCATTGTGGTAGCCCTACAGTGAAGAGAAGATACCCTCCCTGAAATGCTCTATTCTTGTTTCCGTAGCAGCAATTTTTATGGTGATCCTAGTGCATGACATCACAAAAGAGAAAACCTCACGTTTTAAAAGTAATCTTAGCATTGCATTAAAATAAAAATAAAAAATGAAAAAAGAGGATATAAAGGGTTTCACATTAATTTTATTCACAAGATATAATACAATAAAAAGCATCAACTGTTAGACAAAGTCTCATACAAAGGAAATCTACACAAACATTTTATTCAAAGCTGAAAAAACTAACTTCACAACAAATCTAATGATTTTACAAATATGAACACTTTTGATTGTTCTCGCTTCTAGAAAATATGTATAGCAGTCAATTTATAAAGAAGAATCTTACTTTTATTATAAATACCTCAGTTGATAGTTATTTCATGACTGAAGGGACTATCAATTATTGCTAAGCATGCACGACTATAAGACCCCACAATGTATAAATTTTGAAAGTTACAAGGTACGGAAATTTTTTATGTCTGAAGATTTTTATCACATTACCGTTTGAGAAAAGTACCACAAGTGGTTTAAACATTTGCTTAAACTTGCAGGTTTTGTAGTGCACTGAAGAAAAAATCAGGATCCCATTTATCAAAAAACAAAACAAAAAAACTGGACATTAATTGGAGGAGTATACCTACACAATACTACCCTTAAAAAGGCAAACAATTAACTAAAAACTGTAAAAGAGTAGTAAAAGCAAGTTTTACTGCAAAAAATAAATAAAATATACTATTTTTAGTTTCATAATTTGTTAAGAACAGAAAGTTTAAATAGTTTCCAGAATAATTTTATCAATACTGAACAACTCGTAATAGTTTCAATTCAATATAAATTTTACATTAAAAAAATACTTAATATCAATGTGTTAATTTTCCTTCATACAAATATTTCTTCCCATTTGTAAACTCTACTAGTATTTGTAATTGCATATCAAAGAGGTGCTTTCTGAATGGTCAAACAAATGGTAATCTGAAGGAGCTGCACATAGGGTCAAAAATTTCTCAATTTAAATTCTAAAGGTGTTTATGGGCTTAGCAGACTAATTGCTTGTACACAAATTCTATTAAATAAATAACATTGTTTTAAGAAATTAAACTTAACTTTAAAAATTGAACCTTTTTGATCTAAAATTGTGATATAAGTTAGAAAAATCTTGCCAAAAATTTGCCATTTTGACAATAAATCATAGAAATGCATTACAAAAGAAATGAAAATATACAAAGCATATTTACAAAGATTTAAAAAAAACTAACGTTTTATACAAACATTAGATTTACATCATAATATAACTTCTTAATATAAACAATATAATTTCACTATTAGAAATCCCTAAAAATATTCCACATTATTTTAAAAATTAAAAATGATACCAATTTTTAGGTATGGTGATTCTTTCTGAGCCAATAGACCTTAAAAATGCATATAAAAAAAATTATACAATTTTGCTAAGTTAATTGTCAAAATAGAGCTAAAAGTAAAAATTTTACTTATGGTTCTATTGAACATTCTACTAAAGAATGCTTTTTTTTATGATGTTGGTTAATGTTAATACATTTAAAGAATAATGATTTTGATCATAAGTTTTCAGTAAAAAATACAGAAATGTCACTAGAGCAAATCACTAACAAAATAAATTGAGCAGATGCTTATTAATTTTGTACTCAATAACGTTGTACATTGCTTTCATTGAATGTAATTGGGCTTTTTAGAATACAAAAAAAAAAAAAGATAAATAAACACAAGATTTTTTGTTACTTTCACAAAAGGATAGTATTTTACTAGAAAAAAAAAATATGAATGTCAAGTTCCAAAACTAACATATTAACAAATATTCATACAATTTTTGCACCGAAAAATTATTGTTTAATAAAAATAATATTTGAATTGTATAATTGACTAATATGAGTTATAAAAAGGTTGATAATGTGTTTAGACGAAGTCAAATAGACAGAGCAAATTTATTTTAACACAAATTTACTGAAAGTACTCCACAAGTTTTACTAAAAACTTTTTGATGAATTTTAGCATTTAAACTACATTTCTATCATTACAAATTGAAACAAAATTTCGTGTATGACACATATCAAAGCATAATTTTAAAATTATCTTTTATGCCAGGTTGCTACATATTTTGTAAATAATCATTCAATAACAACTTTATATTCATTCATATTTCTTTTTATGTTCATATAATCACCATTCTCATCAAATTTGAAATTTAATTACATTATCAGTTAAATAACAAGTCAAATTATGCACTAATGTGAAACTTTCCTCATCATTGAAAATTTCTCTGAATATTTTCAACATAACTTAAAGTAGAACTGTTGTAATACTATATAAAAGAATAGCTTCTTCTAGTTAGGCTATCATATAAATTTATTAAAAGATAGTAATAAATTTTTTTGACAGTTTTAAGTGTCATTTAGGCAAACAGTAGATTAATTAACAATGTACTGATTCAGTAAATATTTTGTAACCAAACACATTTTGTTAGAAAAAAAAGACATACAAAAATTTAGTTTTTAATTTTTTTATAAACATTTAAGAAATTAATTTGAATTTATTTATTTTTATAAAATTGCATACAAATCTTGCATATATCCTTAAAATAATGACTCCATAAGAAATTTCCTTTTACTTCAATTAATTAGAAATAAGCATTAAACCAGTTACATCAATACAATATTTTTTAACTATCATTGTGATATAAAGTTTTTTTTTTAAGTGCATATTTTTAATCAAGGGAAAAGTCTTTAAATAAAATTTTTCCCCGTTGCAACATTTTAAAAACAAAATATAATGACTACTTTGATATGCAAAATGAACAGATGGCTTCAAATAGTAATTTATTTATCCTTCTTATGCTTCTTCTTCACTTTCCTTGCTCCACACGATTCTCCATTCTAAAATAATTAGTCAATGACACATTAAGAAAAATCATATATTTGGGTATAGTTTTAGAAAATCAAATCTATTTGTGTATTTTGCATCTTTGTTACTAAAATTAATTACTTATAGTTGTTACAGCTTTCAAGTCTCTATAAAAATTGATTAACACATTGGGCAATGAATACTTTACCTCAAAATCAATAAGATGGCATGACTCTATTATGTACCACACTGTATTGTTAAGCACATAGATATTTAAAGTTTATTGTTTGCATGAACTATTTATATGAGCTTAATGTTTTTTAAAAAATATATATACACAGTCGAAGCTTTGTGCAATGATCTTTGTTGTCCAAACAAAAATCTACTTTACAGCATGAGGATACTGTAATGTAAGTGCATGAAAAAATTTTGAATATTTGCACATGACTAATAAATGTTGGGGTAATTTTGATAAAGCCTTACAGTATTTAATAAGAGCTAAGAAATTGACAATATTAACAACAAAACCACATTTTAAATTAAATATACAGCAAACAACCCTTTTGTCAAATAACATAGCTTCTAAAAATTGTTATGTGAATTTAGAGTTGAAAAGCAAGCTTCAAAAGTGTGTTTTTATCAGAATAAATATACTTTTTTTCTATTGTATTCAGATTTCTGATCCTCAAAATATGCTCCTAGTAATTAATTGAAGAAAATAGCAACAATTTGAACCCTTTAGATTTACTTTTAAATATTGTGCATTTATAAGTTATTTTTAATGGATGAGTTTATAAAATCAGCAGCTCTTTAAAAATCAAAAGTTCTCAGAAAAGTGATTTTAATAGATGGCAAACATTATAAAACATCAAGAAAAAAAAAAGACTAGTTATAGACCTCTAGAATGGTAAAAAAGAAATATCCTTACATTATCAAATAAAAATTTTTATGCCAAATTTTACCATATAAATATTCAACAAATATTTAAAAAACACAACATCAAAATCAGTCATTTTTTTGGTCTCTATAAGCTGAAGAGTATGCTTTTTATTTGGAAACTCAACTGAAATTGAAAGCTTGTACATAAGCTGATGTAAAAACAAAAATAATAATAAGATATGTTAGGCTTTGAAATAAAAATGTACCCTACGTCCGGTGATAATCACAGTGGGTAAAAAAAACATGGATTTTCAAAATTCGTAGTACGAAGATGAAAAAATAATAGTATTTCTCACAAGTTATACTTTTTATGTATCTTTCTCAATTTTGATATTTAGGCATTCCATTATCAACTATTATTTTATGCATTTTTATACTTTATATATAAGTTCTGTAACATTTACTGATTTTATTTTATCTTATAAATGTCGTTGAACTACCGACCCGTTGAACTACCGATTTTAGGGTTTACAAATACTAATGGTCAACTCCACAGCCTTGTAATTTTGAAACCAATTGAGAAGACAAGGGAACTCCTACATCAAGTATGGGAGAAATTTGCCTTCATGGAGTACTTTTTGATGGAACTAACCTGCATTTGTATAAGATGAAGATGATATTTGTATGATTTGTATAAGATGATATTTTACTTCAACACGATGGCTGCTGTGAGCTGGGTGCAAAATTCGTATCAACCAGTCATCTCTGGGATTTGAACACGGTTCACCTCATTGGTAAGAGAATGCTCTACTGATTATCGTTAATGCTCAACAAACGGAGAAACATTTTGTTTGGCAATGACCTCCTGGAATTTTTCAAAATTACAAATTTGATTATAAGCCGATCCTCCAACTTTAGCTTTCAAAAATTTTCTAAAACTTTACGGCTTACATTCGGAAATATAAGGCATTTAAATTTACTTTTTACTCAGTATAAAAATTTAAGTCAAAAATAGAACAATTTAAAGCAATACAAGCAATAAATGAAATTGAAAAATTTTCTACAGAACTTCCAATTAACTTATACTTACATCATATTTCTTGCCATCATCATGCTTATCATGCCTTCTCTTTTTCCTTGACTTTTTGTGCTTATGTTTATGACTTCTAGCCTATATTCCAGTACCCAATAAGCATGGATCAGATAAAAAAGTAGCATCACATGGCATGAGAAATAAAAAAATATAACATTACACACAAATTTTCCTTTAAAGACTAATCTTAAGGTAACACTCACATAGTTAATCGAAATTAAAGTGGTCAGTTTTAAAAAACAGTACATTTTATGTAGCATATACTGATAAAGAAAGTATGCAATATAGAAATGTTAGAGAGGATGGCCCTCACAAGAAAGCATTGCGAAATGTAACTATTGTATAACTATACTGCCGTGCAATTGAAAAATCAAAGACAAAAAATTTAAATTTGACATTTTTATATATGTTGAACTTCATAATGTTAAAAAAAAATTTTTTTAAAGTAAATTTCAGCGTTCATAGCATTAGCAATAGAATGAGAAAAGTTTTCAAGAATGCAGCACTTATGCTGTTTTTTCAATTGCATGGCAGTATACATGTAAGTACCAATAATAATCTATTTTATATTTGATAAGACTAGTGGTATGCGATTCCCTCTCCACAATGCAATTTTTTTTTTTTAAAAATGGTCACATAAATAACTCTTTGCCCACACTAGCTAAGAAATACTTAGGTGACTATAAGTTTGAAAACATTAATGAAAAAAGTTAAAAGTAAATTTGTTAAATCAAATTCAAAATTTAATAACACTAAGGTCCAAAGCAAATTTCAAACTAATTCACAAAGAATGAGTTTTTGTTTGTAAAAAAAAGAAAAAGATTTTTGTTTGCTATATATATTACGAAAATAAAACATTTCAGTAAGATACAGTTCAAATATCAGGCAAATTACTTTTTAATGATTTTTCCTTTTGTAAACAAAAATAGCTAATTAATAACCCTCCTTAAATGCTTTTTTAAAATTTTGAGTTTTAGCAATAATAATAAGAACACTATTTTCCTCAGAAAGCCTTTTGTACTTTTAAAATTTAAAACCACAGGAGGTAAAACTTATAATACTCGAAAAATATTTTTTAATCAAATTTTTTTTTTTAATTGTGAGTTTTTCCGCCCTTAATTAATCCTCAAATTCACTTTTATAAACAAAAATCAGCTAATTTATTAACCATCCTTATATGCGTTTTTAAAATTTTGAGTCTTAGCAATAATAATAAGAGCAGTATTGACTGATCCTATCTTCAGAAAGCCTTTTTGTATATTTCAAAAAGGCTTTCTTTCTGTGGTTTTAAAAACTTAAAACCACAGAAAGTAAATAACACTCGAGAAATATTTTTTTTATTAAGTTTCTTACTCAAAAAAATAATTAATTTTTGAACTGTCAGTTTTTCCCCCTTTAAATAGCTTTTTAATGAGTTTTAATTCCCTTTTAATAAAAAATTTTAGCTAATTATTAACCTTCCTTATATGCTTTTCTAAGATTTCAAGTTTTAGCAATAATAATAAGAACAATATTAACTGATCCTATCTTCAGAAAGCTTTGTTGTATTTTTAAAACCACAGAGGGTAAATAACACAGAAGGTAAAGTTTTTGACTGAAATTTTTTTTTCTCGAACTGATAGTTCTTTTTCCTTAATTATTTTTGCAATTTACAGGAAATTTTTGACGACAAAGAAAATTTAGCGCCTCAATCATTGCTTAGACCCATCCTTTCCCAGTCTCTCAGCAAAAGTAATCAGATTGAAAATCCACTCCCTCCCTCTGAGAGTAATGAAGAAAACCAAAGACACATGTTCTAAAATGTTAAACTTCATTACATTATAATAGAAACAACGTACCTCGTCATTATCTGAGGAGCACCTAGATGAAGATGAGGATGAAGATGAACTTGAGGATGACTTAAGAAAAACAATTGTGTTAAAAATTGAAAGAAAAAAAAGTAAATATTAAAAATGCACCGATAAGTTAAAAAAGTTTTTAGTGATATGATGGTACAAAATTGATCATTTGTGATGTATTTCTTTAGTGGTCAACTTAAAGAGGGGATGAGTCATTTTTTTTAATCATATTTTATATATTCCATGTAATTTATGTTGATTGTGTTATTCATGTATTTGTTAGAGATTATAATAGACTATTTTAAAATAAAGTTAAACGTTATTAATTTTTTTAACATGTCTATCACTTTGATAAATTATTTCGTAAGTACTTTATATATTCAAAGAAACAAGATTAAACTAATTAATTAAAAGAAGAGATATTAAACTGATTACTTAAAATAAAAATGTACATTTGAGATATTTATTATAAACAGTTTCTAAAGATATAAAATATATATATATATTTTTTATTTTATAAATGTTGTTGAACAGCCGATACAATTTAGGATTTACGGCTACTAATGTTAAACTCCACAGCATTGTAATTTTGAACCCAATCCAGAATACAAGAGAACTCCTGGATCAAATATTGGGAGAAATTTGCCTTCCTGGAGGACTTTTTGATGGAACTAACCCGCGTTTGAGTTACATGGAGAGGAGAACCTTCTACAGTTAGCTTGACGGCAAGGGGACTCTAACCCATGATCCGTCTATCACTGAGGATATTTTTCGCCAGTACTGTGGTCGGTGTGGAATTCGAATCGACCCGCCATCTCTGGGATTTGAACCTGATTAACCTCATCGGATGGTGAACGCTTTATCCCCTGAGCCATCACGGCTCAAAACATATATATAATTAGAGAACATAATATTATATTATTTCAACAGCATTTATATGTGTTCAATATTTTTTTGTTATAAAACCTTATAATTTTTGATATAGGCCATTCACAACTGAGTTTAGGTCAACATTTTATGCTATTTCAATAATTCATTGAAATTTTTAACACGTTACATAACGGTAAATTTTTGGGAAGGTTTTTCTTCTTCTGGTTCCAATTTATGACGAGTTTAGAATAATATTTAATAACACCATGAGGCAGATTTTAATAGTCAACATACAAGAGAGAAAGGCGATCACATTACTAAGGTTTTGCTTCCCGTTACTATATAGGATAAATTCAGTTTTCGAAAATAAAGGCGAACTTAGATAGGTGGTTAACTTACAAGGGTGCGCAACTTTACAATTTTCACTGCTATTTTCTACTTCTTTTTAATATGATTTTTTAGCGCATATCAATAAAAAGAAAAATTATAAATTTTTGGGTATCATGATTTAATCGGTAATCATCATTTATATAACTCTTTATTTTTCAGTGTCATCATTTATATAACTCTTTATTTTTCACTATCATCATTTATATAACTCTTTATTTTTCAGTGTCATCATTTATATAACTCTTTATTTTTCAGTATCATCATTTATATAACTCTTTATTTTTCAGTGTCATCATTTATATAACTCTTTATTTTTCAGTGTCATCATTCATATAACTCTTTATTTCTCATTATCATCATTTATATAACTCTTTATTTTTCCGTATCATCATTTATATGACTCTTTATTTTTCCGTATCATCATTTATATGACTCTTTATTTTTCAGTGTTATCATTTATATAAATCTACCAATAAAAATAACCATCACTCACCCTCTTCTTTCTCCTTTTCTTTGCTTTTTCCTTCTGCAAAATTGAAAAATAAATAATTTAAACGAAATTAATGAAAAATGTTTTTAAAATGATTACTTTTTTATAAACTACTTATTAACAACTATGAGCAATGGCTTACCTCAGACCTAGTGCTTGTTCTTAGTAACTTTTCTCTGTTAATTCTTAATTCTTCTCTAAATTTCTAATAATTAACAGAAAGAAAATGACTTAATTAGCTAGCAGTAAATTATTTAAAAATAGTACATCTAACACGATTTCACATTAACAAATGATTTGACAGGTAAAAAAAATTTACCTTCTCTTAGTTTTCAAACAAGATAAGTAGTATAAAAATAATTCATACTGAAATGAAATTAAAAATGATCATTTACAATTGGAGATCATCACGAAAGAATTATGTCACATTTTTCTGAATTAGATTAAATTACAGTTTTGAAGAAAGAAAAAAAAAATCTATACAGCTTACAAAGCTTTATTAAAAACAACATTATTTAAAAATTGACAAAATATTTTAATTTTTTATCCTAATGTTTTTAGTTAGCTAGTATATGCCGGGTCCAATTAAGAAAAGTAAAGTTCCAAATTCTCCCTCTTCATTTCTGTCTAAACTCTTAGCGTATTTTGTAGAAAAATAAATAACACGTAAATCAAAAGGTTTATGAACAAAAACAGCAATGGTCTTAAATCAGATATGCATAACATTTTTCTAGTAGTGGGCCCTAAAAACTAAAAAATTCTATATTTGTGTGCAACATAAGTTACAAGTAAAACTGTACTGGTAAAATGTAAAGTGTTTCTTGATCCTAATTGAAAACAGCAAGCATCTACATGGAATGTCCTAATTATAGTGCAAAATTTGTAGGTAGTCACATTTCCCAGCAAGCACTGAACTCATGGCTATAAATAAAAATTAAAAAATGAAATGGTCCAGTCCTGCACTAAAACAATAAATAAATAAAAGAACAAGATAACCAGTAAAAAAAGAAAGACCCTTTCTCTTAATTGCTTTATTAAAACACACAGGTTGTGCATCCCTTTCTTAAATTACAATTTGAGGATTAAGAATAGGATTAATTCAAGTAGCAAAACTTTAATGTTTTTATTTTTATAAGTTAGCTATGTCAAACGAGCTTAAAATCGATTCAAAAAACTGTTAATTAAATTATTATTATTATTTTTTTTTAAAGAGAAGCATTATTAGTTACTTAAAATAAAAAGATTATGTATTTAAAAATAAAAATTCTAAAATTTGTGTAGGCAAAAAACAGTATAAGCAAAAAAATATAGCAAAATCTATGATTACCAAATTTTTAAAAACAAAAAATGATTGTTCTTTACTAAGATGGAAAAATAATTTATCACAACAATGGAACTATCTCTGGAATATTTAATGTAATATTAAATTATCAAAAAAAAAAAAAATTACATTTCAAATTTTCTACAATAAGAATAGGAAACTTAAAACTTATTTTGTCTGCCTAGCCAAGACATTTAGGTTTTTTCAAATTAACATCTTCCATTCTACCCCTTAAATCATGATAAATAAACACGAACATTTTAAGTAAATGATTTTACATTGCATGCATAATAAAAAGAAACAATTGTAAAAAATAGCAATAATGGGAAAACAATTAGTAGAAAAATTATATCTTTTACGATAATTTTTATTATTTTTACTAAGATTACTTCATTCATCTTTGCTTCCCAGGCAGCAAGAGTATGTGAGCCTTCTTTTTTCTTTTGCATAATCTGTTTTACCTCTTCCCTAAAATACAATATTCACAATTCAATGAAAAAGGTATTTTACAATGCATGGGAAATATCACAAGTACCAATATATTAAGAGATAGTAGGCAAAGTATAGTGAAACAGTTTTAATAAGTATTCTTTTATAAATTGATAGACGGGAAATATTGTACAACACTGAAAATGTCAATAATGGGAATCATGAATTCAGTAAAATTCTTTCTATTTATAGATATATCAAGAATATAGCCATATCAATATTTTCAAGAAGGAACCTCCCCAGTTTGTCAGTCGTCAAACTTTATTCACTATCGGAAAATATCAAACTTTTTATTAAATATTGCATAACAATATGCAAAAAGCATATATTTCGATGTAAAAACCTAACCTTAACTTAATGATAATAATCAACAATTGAAACAACTATAACTTTTATAAATTAATTAGAAATATTGCTAAGACAACTATGTTGGCAGTAAATCATTCTTTATCAGTGTGTTTAGTTTTAAAACTACAAACTGTTACTGTAAAATAATTTGTAACATCAAGTGTCATAGTACCTTCTATTTTATTTAAAAATATGTAACAATGTATGGATCAAATGTATAAAACTGCTCCGATTCAATTCCAAAATTAAGCTTTGCATTGAGTTTAGTTTTGTTTACCTCTTATAGTACTTCATGCCATCTTTCAAAATGGCAAGCGATCTACAGCTATGTCAGAGTCAGACTCATTAATTTTTATTCATTTGCATTAATTTTATTTCACAGACAAATCATTAATAGTTTTTAAATTAGATAAGATAGGTTAAGTTATTATTATAAGCTCTGTAAGAATTAATAAACTGGAATGCTTATTGATCAGAGAGTCAATATTATCTTTTCATTGCAGAGATGGGCATTTGTCATTCAGAATAATGAATACATTTGCATATGAATAATCATTCAGAATAAATTTATTCTAACTAAATTTAGTCATGAATAAAATTTCTATGAATGATGCCCATCACTGCTTCATTGTATTTATTTTTCTCCTGTTAAAAGATGATGGTGAGTCTGAAATTTTTTAAATGAAAGAATGTTATTAATAGAAATTTAAAATTAGAAACTGTTTAAAAAATTAACAAATTATGAAATTGTTTACTTAAGAGTTTCATAAAAAAGTTTAAAAAAGAGAACTGTAATAGCATAAATAGCTTGAAATTATAGAAAAATGTAATTATTTTTATAGATCAATATATTGACAGGTTGTTAATTATTAATTATCACAATATTAACATACTTATTTGAACTATTTATTTCTATTTAAAGTTTGAGCAAATAAAAATTGTTTATTGACATTTCTTTTAAGTTATAAAAAATATTGCTCTCAGTAAAATTATTTCTTTATTGACCACTAAAATGTTTCTAACTTCTCCCATTAAATGAAAATTCTGTAATGAAAATCAAATATACATTTTTTTAAAAAAAAGTAGGCATAGGAAAGAAAATGAAAGGTGATAGGATTCAATGAAAGATAAAAATTTCTATAATCTTGAAAATATGTGAAATATTAAGAATCAAGTTTTGTCATCTTTTCTTAAAATTTTTACAAACACAGAAAAACTATAAAAAAAAATTAGAAAAAGAAATAGTCGAAACGTCTTCAAATTAGCTATGTTCGCAAGAAATAAAACATCATATCTTTGTTAAACTTATTTAAAAGCTGAGTTAAAAAAATTTTTTTTTTTTTTTTTTAGTTTGTCAGACATTTTAAAAATAATTTTAAAGAAATTATAAAAAATATTTAATAGAATAAACACATTTGAACTACATAATTGCTGACATGGAGGAAAGTTTTGAGGGCTGGTTTGTAAACTGTGCACAAACCCTCCGATTCATTTACTTATAAGGAAAAAAGCCTGCGAAAATATTTAGTGGCCTGGGGTCCTGAGAAAAAACACAAAAGTCTTAGAGTTTTCTTTCTTTATTTTTTTTGTTGAAAATCTGAATATGCAATGTGGGTAAAATAAAAGACAACTTTGCTTATTTTAATTACTAAAAATTAAAAACTTCATTTATTAAAACAAATAAAATAGGAAGCGTTGATTTTAGGCTTAGTTGATTTTTAAAAGTTGTTTTTTGGCTGATATTCAATTAAATTAATAAAAAAGAAGATTTTTTTTATTTCTGGAATTGAAACAAAATAATAATTTATATTACTAGTACAAATAAAAAAAGTTCATACCAAGAAGGTCGATCTCGATTTAGATAATCCCGAATAGATGGCCCTCCAGAGGTGGCAGGCCCTCGTGCTCTAGCCATTGCTATAGGATTCATAAATGCCTGAAAGCAAAGAAAAATAATTGTAAATATATTTATTTACCTAAACTTATAAATGAACAGACATGCATAAGTAGTTCTGTTAAAAAGTTGAACCTCGCGAAGTAGCATAAAATTCCAGGAACATGCCTTCTAAATTATGAAATAACCATTAATTGCAAATTGAATTATGCATCAAATAAATTATAAACATATTTAGTTATTTAATTTTAAATTGTTTGACTCTTGTGATCGTTGTTTCAAACTGTCATAGCTAATTTAACTCTCAAATTGGAATAATTAATACAGTAAAACCTCAACTAATCAATTTTCATTGAACCATTCATTACCAACAATAGATAAAGAAAAACTACAAATAATGGTTAATATTTAAATTTGTTTAAAAATTATGAAAAGTGACAAAGAATTAATAAACTTGAAAAGTAATAAAAAATTTAAACTGAAAAATTATGTACAAATTACAAAAGTATTGATAAACCATATTTTTTTAAAAATATGAGAAAGTTTGGTTTCCATGCATTCTCTTCTTCTCAAATGCAAATAATGAATTTTCAAAATTTTTAATAGATTGCTGTTCTTTATCTGTAAGTTCATGGGACTACAGAAAGTTCCTCATTATTTCAAAAACTTTTCATGTATCAGGGTAGTGACACAAAGTGAAAAATCAGGAAAATTTTATGAGCAAAAACTTTATATCAAGATATTAATTTATATACTATACATGTTTAATATAATAATTTGATACAATCTTCTCTGGCATATGGTTGTGGTTTTGCCATCTTTATCGGAATTATTTTCTACTCGAGTTTCAGCAACCATTTCCTCAAGTGACATCAGACTACAAGTTGCAACATTTTCATTTATTCATGCAAAAAACATCAAAAATGATGCTAGAGGCATTTTCACCAAACTTCTTCAAATTTGTATTTTCTTTTTCATTATTAGCATCAGGACATTCCCTTCAGCATTTTAGAGCAACTATCTTTAGACAGAAACAAGAAAAAAATTAACTGTAATAAATGAGTTTTAATTTTTTATATCTAGCATCAGGATATTCCCTTTAGCGTGCAGAGCAACTCTCTCAAGACAGAAACAAGAAAAAAATATAACCATAATTTTTTTAAATATTTTCCATCTTTAATCGAAATTAGAGCATTCCGAATTTTTTTTAAAAATGGAGCTTAAAATACCCAAATCAAAAAGTTGAACAGTGATAGTCCATTTCAAGAACATGAAAATGACACAAATATTCTTAAGGAAGACATATAGAGAGTACATAACAGTTGTAAAGAAATATAATCCAATTTTGTCATTTTTTCCTCAAATAAACTGCCAAAATCATGCATAAGCAAAAAAAAAAAGAAAATTTGTTTGTCATTCATGCTTTTAAAGTCTTATATGTCACATGTAAGTAACTGACGTTTTTAAAACACATTGGTTTTACATTAATTTTTTTAATTAATTTTGAGCTTGGTGATACCAGTTACACAGAAAAGTTTTCACATCTTTGTACATTGATTCTTGGTCAGTTTCTGCTGACAGACATTTTATTTAACTACCCTGTTATGAAATTGATAGTTTTTCTTTTACTTCAATTAAATCAACACTTTCTTTGAAAGAAAGAATTTGTCTTACCTTTTTCATTGTAATAAAGTAAAAAAAATACAAGAGAAAGGAAAGAAGAGCCAGTCTTAACTATTTGTTTGCCAAAGGTGAGCTGAGGAGTGGACATTCCGAAGTCTGGGCTACATATATATACTTACATCATGGGTTTTGTGACACAAAGTGACAAATCCCGAAAACTTTCTGTGCAAAAAATCAATATCAAGATATCAATTTATATACTATACTTGTTTCATATTTAACATAATGTTTTCAAAAAAGGATTTATAATTAAACTACCTACCAATGATGAATATCACACCTTTGTCTTAATTCTTACAAGAATCACAATGTTTGACTTTAAAATATCCTAAATATGAATCGCGACAATGGATTTTTTAATCATGTGAATATGAATCACTAGATGTACTATTTTTAAACAATGAGAATACAAATTACAACCTGCAACTTAAATTAGGTAAATATGAAAATTGATGTTTGTTATTCAGCCGATTTCGGTTCAGTTTTAAACATTCAAAATGGCTAAAAATCCACTATACCAAAAGAATCTCAATTGGCGGATTTCTGCTTATTGGCAGAAGAAACACGTGCATTAGCAAGAATTCGCAAAATGTTTGAAATCTGAATTTTAGATAGAGGAATAACATGAAAATTTTGTTGGATTCTAAGTTTTTGAATTATGAAAGAGCTGAAAATCAATAGTCTTGAGAGATGCGTAATTCCGCAATATTTCCAGAAAAATCATACTCCTAATTTTTAAACCCAGAAGGATAATGTGAAAGCCCTGGAAATCCAAGATACCCCTGGAATACAATCATCCCTGTTACGTCTAATATTTAAATTAGTTTTTATAAGCATCATTTCAATATTAATGTAAAAACAAATTATATTCAATTTCCGAGATTAAAATAGGGCATGTTAATCTGACAATTTAAAAACCAGAAGCATTCAATTAGTTAAAAAAAATTTGCATCCATGAATTAATCATCCAAAATATAATCATCAAGTTGAGCTAAACTTTCAAAATTAATCAAAATTAATTCAATTTTTTGCTCTGAATATTTTCTGCTCAAAAATTATTTTTTCTCAGTTTACTCAGAGTCTAATACATTTATTTAAACATATTATTAATTAATGATTTATATTGATAATAAAATGCATAACTCAACAAAATAGTGCTCGAAGTTGCGTATAATAATACATGATACAAGCAAGGCATACTGAGAAACCAAAGGCTGGGCATAGGAATTTAAAGACCTACTCCCAAGATAAAATTTATTGTGGAATCCTTTCTTTAAGCGAAGATTTTAATTGAAAATTGTATTTCTTATTAAGACAAAAAATAATTCCTGGCAATTTCATTTTGATTGACAATTTTCTTTTCAGACCCAGGCCTTGAGACAATTTTCCCTGCCTTCCGTTTTTGAGCATGGCCTTGAAGAAACACTTTCTGTAATCGCAATTTTCTTTAATTAATTTTGTAATCAATTCTATATCAGTACTATGTAACTGATGCAGGCATAACACAAATTTAGACAGTAGATGTCAAAATTACTATTTCAGGCGGCAAAATGTTGCTATAACTTTTAATTATAGGAATTAATGAATGTTTTTTTTTAGGCATTAAAGAAGAATGCCAAGATCATGGCACACCATGAAAGAGCCCTAAAATGTCTGGATCACAAAAATTTGATTAAATCTATTGGTTTAAGGCATATTATTATATATTATGCCATAAAACATTTTCACCAACAAAACGCTTAATCCACTTTGTTATCTAACACATTAATTTGAACAAAATTATTGACTATAAAGAAATAGTCAAAATACAAAATATAACCTTTTGCTTGCAAAAATATTTAAATTTTTACTCCTATCACTAGGGCTCGATATGAACTCGACAGCAGATTCTTTTGAAAGCACATGACGAGGCTTGCCCTTAGAGATTGCTACAAGTTATACTCTTTTAGGTTGTCTCTTTCTGTATATATATATATATATACTATTTTAATTTTTACAGGACGCTAGAAGTTGCCAAGAATTAGTGATCGATAACTCTGCCGGAAATCATAATAGAGAAATCCACCCTTCATGTTTTCTGGATATACACATCTTTGTGTTTAGAGGAAGTTTCAGTTGGTTAATGCAAAATGAAATAATATTTTCTTATAAAGAATGGTTAATAATTACAAGTCAAGAATGAACAATAATTACAGATCGTTAAAATCTATCAAAATTGAAAGCAATTTTCAGCATTAAATGTGCAACTAAAACAAAATATTCATACATATCTAGTGTCCCTTTTTCCCATTTTTGACACAATGGAATGATCCGTTTACAAACGCACTTTTATAAGAATTTATAATCCTAATAATTCATAATATTTCATTTACAAAAGAGTAATATGAATGGAATTTATAATAAATATTGTATAGAGCAATAAATCAATTATTAGAGTTCTGTACACCCGAGGCAGACTGAATTTTTTTACATTCACAATAATTATTGTTTATAAAAATTAGAAAAAAAAAGAATAGTCTCGGTAGTTTACACTTCCGACTGCTTATTATTACTGCAGCATTTCTTCCCTGTGCTTAGTTATGCTTAGTTAACCTACCAAATGTAAACATTTTAAAGATACATTTACACTAAAAATATGGTATGCAGAAGTGATCTAAATAAAAGCTTCCGATTAGTTGTTTAAAATCATGTGACCAAAATGACTAATGAAAGGCTCGATCGCGTTACGGTTTGATATTATTAGTGAAAGCAGACCTTAAAAAGAGGGCGCTATAAATCTTCTTCTGCGCTGTTAACTTAACTGTAACCACTATTTTAAAAAAAGCAAGGTAAACGTACTTGACAAAATTTTATTCTCTCAAAATTTCTGACGAAGTTTGGTGAGCTTGAATCTGTTCTCATCGTATTTACTAATTTTATATTATAACTGAACGTGGTAAATAATATTTCCCAGCTATGAGGGCTAAGGTAATCAAATTATTTTTTATTAATTATTATATGAAATATCAATTTTAAGCAATGTTTAGTTTGGTCTTCGAAATGCTTTGTGTGTGATTATAGTTTTTGCAAAATCTATCTTATTTTAAATTTATTAAGTAAAAAAAATTTTTAATCCTACTAATTTTAAGCTTTACTCTGTAGATAATTTAGATATTTTTTATATATCTATACCATTTTAAATGTAACTAAGCCATTTTATTCTTGTCAGCCACGTGTGATACTGTGGCTGTGGATTGCTATGTGCATAATTTCTCTTAGTTAAATTAAGAATTTATACTTTATTATACGATTTTGTGTTATATATATTTATATATATATATATAATTGATCGCATGAAGTTGAATCAGATGCTAATGTTCTTTTCGATTATGATAGTTTCATAGTTTCGAGATTCCTAGATTAAATATAAGATATAGATCGTTTCCTAAAGATTTCTTATAATTTTATAAATGCATTAATTGGTACTTTTTAATTCATTGTAAGTATCCACGTGTACAAGTTGTAATAATCTATTCCTGTATTAACTGATAGTTCTTTAGAGAAACGTGTACGTAACTGTTTTCATACTCTAATATGACTGATTAGGAAATTATTTTCTAATTAATACCTTTCCGTATCATTTCACGTCCCCACGTGTTAGTCTTAGTTATTGTATCTTAGGCATGATAATTCGTGTTTTTTCATCACTAGTAATTCTTTTATATCGTAGTGTTAAATTAAGATAATTCGTTCATTTTTAGTGGAGGAAGAAGCGTATGCGAAGGTTGAAGCGTAAGAGGAGGAAGATGCGTGAAAGATCCAAGTAATCTTACTTCATCGAAACGTAAGTGTCTCTTGTATTTAAATTACTCCAGTGTCGGAAATAATGATTTGTTAGTGTGCTTTTGATCTGAATATTTTATTTTAGTGTATTTTATATCATCCACTACTTACCTGCAATCTTATAACTGTGTATTACAATTCAGTGGTGAAATTTTTTTTAGGACAGCAATAATTGATTTCCTTGTGCATGTACCTTGAATTTGTGTTGTAAATTGCTATAAATTTTATGGTATGATTTTCATAGTTGAGCTTGAGTCGCTTGTAACCGGTTTTAGGTTAGAGGTGCTATTTTTGCTCATAGAATAATTAAATTGATTTTAATACACATGTGTACTTAATGGTTAACATGTCACCCTATCTATTTAACAGTTTTTATATAATTTGAAGATAAGCACTTTGATTTGATCATATATTTATTTGTTTTGATTTTTATGCAGATCATAGGTGCCTTATTTTTTTTTGCTTATTTTTGATTTTTTGTATTGGTAAGAGTAATTTTTTCTTTTAATTTATGATTATTCTTTACATTTGATTAATAAGAAACTTTAGTGTGCTTTAATATTAATGTGACCAAATAATGCTGGTGGAAGCTCTTGTGGTTTATGTTTATATCCAGGGTTACTGACATAGTATTTTATTGATGAAATTTTATCTAAAACATGGGTAGCAATTGATATATGTGAGTTATATATCTAGCAAATATAAATGTTTAAATGGGCCATGGTTTCCTGGGATTTTAAAAACCACCCAAAAACCCCAAGGTGCAGATTAGTTTTTTTTAAAAATAGTGGCCCTGCTCAATAAATCCTAGGTTCAAAAGTTTTTTTTATAAACATTCAAAATGTATCTGCGTTACTTTAAAAAGTTAAGCATAATAGTACTTTTTACTCAGCATATCAGACTTAAGTGTAATTAACCATTGGGAGTAGAATTTTTCAAATCAAAATAACTATTACGAAAAAAGTTTTTAAAAGAGTTGAGTAGTTTGTTGGCCTACAAAAAAGATCATTTTAATTAATAGACAATTTTCTTTTTAAAAAAACAATGCAAAGACAATTAATTTTATTATAATTAAAAATGACTGAGGATTTATCAGATTTAAGATAATCAAATTTTATTATGCTTGCGTGCGGTACATAAACTAGAGAAAAAATACACTTTTTATAACCATTAAATACATTATACCCCTTGTTAAAATGCATTGCTTAAAATTTAAAACAATTGAAGAGATCAATGAAAAAAAAAATTTCATATTTTCTTTTCATTAAAAGTTTAAAATCGGAATGAAAAAATTCAATTAAACATTTATCAATTTCAATTAAACATGAGTTTTTTTAGGCATAAGTCAAAGTTCTTACAGATCATTTTCCTAAAAATAAGAAAAATCTAAAAAATCATAAACCAAGGCCATTATATATGGCATGATGGGCGCTAATTTAGCTCATAGAATAAATTGAGATTTTGTAGTATATGTGTGCTTAGTACTATTCAAGTAACTGTTAGCTTTTATTTTGAGTGATTAATGAATATGCTTGTGATGAATTTGTAAGATAGGGACAAATGACCTACATGATTATTATCTTTATCTGAGGCTTTTTATAATCTGCTTTTTTTTTCCTAAAAAAATTATCAGGCAAGATGGTTACATTGATACTGTTTCTATGAAAATTAATGAAAAATGCTAATGCACATTTTACATGCAGTGATGTATTATGATGATTTTAACAGATAGGGACAAATGATATTTGTGATTNCCTGCTTTTAATTGCCATATTCAACTCAGCATTTCAGACTTAAATGTGTAATTAAATATTTATGTATAACTTAAGGTTCATATAATATTTCTTGCTTCGCCATTGGGAGTAGAATTTTTCAAATCAAATTAACTATTACGAAAAAAGTTTTTAAAAGAGTTAGTTGAGTAGTTTGTTGGCCTACAAAGATCATTTTAATTAATAGACAATTTTCTTTTTAAAAAAACAATGCAAGCTATGTTTTAATTTTTTAATTTTTTTATAATTAAAAATGACTGAGGATTTCTCAGATTTAAGATAATCAAATTTTATTATGCTTGCGTGCGGTACATAAACTAGAGAAAAAATACACTTTTTATAATTATTAACAGGGGTCGCATTCCCCTTAAAATTCATAAAACTATGTGCAAACCCTAAAAATCTGATAAAATTTTGTATATCTAAAATATAATCTAAATGTAACTGTTTTAATTTTGCCACGTGGGAATTCTGATCCTGAGAGAGGTTTTTCGATAAATAAAGCAATGCTTAATGAGAGTCACCATGAGAATACTTATGTCTCTTAGACTAATCAAAAATACCATTCGAAATTATGGAGGAGTGTTGAAGATCACCACAACAGTATTGAGGGCAGTAAAAGAATCTCACAAATCATATCAAGAATATATTAGAAAAATGATCATAATTAATTTGTTTTTCTCTAACTTCGAATATAAATTGCTGATTTGAAATCTAATAATATCACACAATAGTTTTTCTTAATAAAGTAAGTTAAAGGGTAATAATAAAGTTTTGATTAAGAAGGTAAAAATTAAATGAAAATCCAAGTTGGTGTTAATTTATTTTTTCTCTTGGTTTATTTTTTCTCACTTTTACCTGTTCCTGAATTATGCACTTAATTTCTGATAGGTAATATGTAAAGTAAATCGGAATGAAAAAATTCAATTAAACATTTATTAATTTCAATTAAACATTTATTAAGTTTTTTTAGGCATAAATCAAAGTTCTTACAGATCAATTTCTTAAAAATAAGCGAAATCCAATTAAAATCTAAAAAATCATAAACCAAGGCCCATTATATATGGCATAATGGATGCTAATTTAGCTCATAGAATAAATTGAGATTTTGTAGTATGTGTGCTTAGAACTATTCAAGTAACTGTAAGCTTTTATTTTGAGTGATTAATGAAAATGCTTGTGATGAATTTGTAAGATAGGGACAAATGACCTACATGATTATTATCTTTATCTGAGGCTTTTTATAATCTGCTTTTTTTTTCCTAAAAAAATTATCAGGCAAGATGGTTACATTGATACTGTTTCTATGAAAATTAATGAAAAATGCTAATGCACATTTTACATGCAGTGATGTATTATGATGATTTTAACAGATAGGGACAAATGATATTTGTGATTATTATCTGAATCTGAAACTTACTGCTTTGTTTGAATATGCAGTGAATAGTGATTTGGTCATATATATTGGCCAAATAGCGACATTTTTACGTTAATATGTTTTATATATGAATGAGTTTAGTCATTGAGAGAAAGTCAAACTTAGCAGTCTTACTGGTATGTTGTAAATGTTGATTTATCTTGAATTTTCTTTTTATCCTGATTATTTCTAGCAGGTATTGACAGTCTTATTCTTAAAGCAAAACTTATTGTTGAAAGTAATTTGCAGGAAGAATTATCCATAAAAAAGATAATGTCTATCAGATGCTTTTGTAAAATCCTGTGATAATAATTTTTAAATGAACCTGACAATAGGATTAGTCCTATTAGAAAGTATTGAAAAGAAGTAAGCTGTAGTGATTCAGTATTGAGTAATCTGGTTCGAATTCTTCAGTTTTAGCTTTCCATTTGTCTTTCAGAGCGCAATGAGAGTAAAAACAATTTCTAATGTATGATAATGTAATTTTAATTTTTTTTATCATTAAATAATTCTGATCACAGATCAGAGAAGTGTAAATAAAATAGTTCCCACATATAACTTGCCGAATATTTGGCGAGATATTTGGCTCTTTGAATATTTTGCAGAATTGCTGGATTTTTCCTACATCTTGTTATCAGTGTGAGATTTATTAAAGATGGAGTTTGAGTCAATTAACAAGTTTTCTTAGGGATGAGATACTTTCGCGGATTTCTGCTTTTTTCTCCAGGTTTTTGTATTTCCCCCCGCTTATTTCTGCTGAATTTTTTTTTTTTTTTNTTTGATTTTTTTTTTTTTTGCAGAAGTTAAAATATTTTATGAGGAATCTAATTTTCCACGGAGCAAAATTATTGAAGTCCTTATTCATCTCTCAGAAGTTTCTCTATAAATCATTACCTTGGGATAAAACTGGTTGACCTTTATATAGAGATCAGAATTTTTTTTTCTGAAATTCAGCCTTTTTACCAAAAGTCAGATTCTCTAAAAGTTTCATTTTTTTTTTTTAAAAAAATAAATATCCCACTTTTTTTTCAAATTTCAGTCGTTGAAGTAAAATTATTATATTTATTTACGATTTTCAAAGATAAACAGAAAATTCAAACTTTGTCCTAGCTGCTAACCCCTCCGCATCTTTACTTAATAGCTATTTTCTGATTTCGCACACAGAAAATAAGATTTTCTGTATTTTTATCCGTCGGGATAGCTCGTATTTTCGTAATTCAGACGTCGCTGCTTCTTTTATTCTGGCGTGAAAACAGACCAAAAAAAGAGAAGAAAAATAGAGGTGGATTTGCGGTGAAAGTATTTATTTGCTCTTTCAATTAATCTTGTAAATTTTTATTTATTCTATCTCAATAAAAACAATACAAACAAGCCTTTTAGAATCCAGACCCAGCAAATATCTCTATTTTTATTCATGCGATATATCATCGATTTTCGTATTTACCCGGTTTAAAAGTTGCACATTGATTTAAAAATCCAATAACGTGTTTTGTATTTATGCATTTTTATTATCAAGCGTCGATTTTCATATTTACCTGTTTTAAAAGTTGAACCTTGCGATTCTTATTCAGGGGATTTATATAATGTACATTGCGATTCTTATTTACCAGATTTAAAAAACCAATATCACGATTTGTATTTACGAGCCATATGTAGCGGTTCGTTTCACACAAGCTTAAAATCCAATGTCGAGATTCGTTTTTACGGTTGTAATATCGCACGATTTAAAAATTATGCATCATGATTTAGAAATTGCTCATTGTGATTTGTATTTTCGCATTTCTAAATTCGGTGTGGAGTTTCATATTTACCTGATTTGAAAGCCTCAATCGGGATTTATACTCACATGGTTTACCAAGCTTAAAAATCGCACTTTTTCTGTCAAATTTTTGTTTATGCATATATATATATATTGGATTTCCTCTTTTTTACTTTCTGACTACTCTCATCCCTGTTTCTGCTGTATTTATCAACTCTTTCCACCTTTGCTACCTTTCTCAGCTGTCTTGTTAGATTTGATAAAATTTACGATAAATAATTATGAAGGTAAGTATATTTATTGGGATTATTTTATAAATTTTTATTTATTGAAGCATTCTGAAATTTTCTGTGTTTCTAATAGTGATCTGAACTATTTTTTCTGGTTCTATTGAGATTTGCGTTATTTCAGAATCTCGTTCTGTGATTTAGTGATTTTTACTTGCTCAAATTTCTGTTATTTTTTCATTTATTTCAAGTGTAGGTATATTTTTTGGATGTCATATTTTCAGCTTTTTTGGTTTTTGCCAAATTCGTCTGTGTGAATAAGTTAAAATTTTATAAAAAGTTAGAACATTTTTAGAATGATCTTGTTTTTAAACTAGTTTTGCCTAAAGCCAGTCACCATCAAATGGATAGTTTTTAATTGAGATTTTGAGTTCAAGGAGAGTTTTTATTTTGTACAACTGTGTACATTATTTACTAATGTGTGACAGTCATTTAGTTAATTGATCAGTGATTTTTCTTTCTTCCTGTGTAGTTATTTATAATGTTGTAGGTATATGTTTTTCTAATTATGTGATTTTATATCTAGGTAACCATTATGGAACCATCTGTTCTACTGAATGACAGCTTGCATGTTGGATGTGTAGCAGAGGTCCCGTTTGTCATTTCTTTGGACATGACTTTCCAAAATTTGGAAATTAACCATCATACTTTTAATTATTGTAGCCAGGTTGCTGGCTTTTTTTTGTTTATTAAAAGTGAAATACTGAATATGCTTTTGTTTTTGTGGATGCTTTTTTTTTCCTTTTGTTTTCTTCGTCAACCAGTGATTAGTTTAATGTTTCGATCCTTTAGGGGAACTGCGCCTGTCAACTTTGGTAATTGTTGGAATATTGTATACATAGCTTCGTTGCTACTAACTCGACTGGTTTTTCTAGTAGACTACTGGATTTTGGGTTTCTACTAATTCGTAAACGTTCTGGTTTTTGTATATTTTGGAAAATTCCCTAAAATTGAGTAAGTTTCCTTAAAAGATCCCTGTTGTGATAGTTTTTGTACAAATTACTGCTTTTTCAAATTCATGTGCGAACATGACACATAACATTTCAAGTTAATTACTATTAATCAGAATTGCATAATATTAAAGTTTTTCTGTTATTATGACCTAGAAATTCTATGTATAAGATGTTAAGTACATTTTGCAACAATTGTCTTGAAATTTATATTTCATAAAGCTATGTAGCTTGTATAACCATTTTTTAAAAATTCCCTGAAATAGTTTACAAAAAAATCATTATTTGCATAAGAAAATCTTGTGTGATTTATTGTTTGCTTGAATATTAAGATCAGTTACTAATACTTGTGAAGTTGAGCCTCCTTTACATTTACAAATTGAGACATTTTAAAATGAAGTTAATTTCAAGTCAGTTATTAGATGATTTCTGTAGGGGGATGTTTAATAATCTTGTTCACCCAATTTTATAAGTATATTCCACTGATATACTGTACCTGCCAAGTCTCCTGTTTTTTTTTTTTTTTTTTATTTTTTTTTTTAGTTTCATTTTGTTAAGTAGTCATAAAGTTTTGTTAAGTAGTCATAGTTTAAGTAGTGTTGAATGATAACCTATACGTTAAGTATCTATTTAGAATAATGTTGTATTTTTATAGCAATAGCAACTTAGTTATCATGTAAATTATACGATACTCAAGGTATGGCTATCGAGGTGCGTGAGGAAATAGTACAGCACGTAATGGAGCATTTTGATATTATTATTATTATTATAATTTTGATCTCATGACAGAGATGGAAATAATTTTAATACTTCTGCTGCCAATTATGCTAAAATGTCCCAAACTCCTACTTATAGTAATTTAATGGCTACCGCACAGATTTTAAATTCTATAAAGTACTTTGACAATACAGTGGATAGTCCCTGAAAATAGTTAAAATAGAAGTCAGAAGTAAATCGCGGGTAATGCCGTAATGGAGCATTCGTAAGAATCGTTTTATATATCGTTTAAGAAATTAAGATGTTGGGATTGGATTTTGGGTTGAAGAATTAGGATATTTAAGCACAATTGTTCTGCGCATTCGGATTGGTCATCATTTAAAGTTTCAATGTCGTACAAGATCATTTTGAAAGGTGACCAAACTGGTCATCAAACTATATTGAGAGAGTTTTACACATATTTTAATATTCTACTTCAAATTTTAACATTGAAGAAAAAAAACAGCAATTACTTTTTCAACAATACCAATAATAGTTTAAGTCGTAATGATCAAGCCCAAGGTAAAATCATTTACATTTTNTGAAAAGAAGATAATGATCATGGTTTAGATTAAATAAAAGAAAAAGATTGCCACTCTGCAAAATTAAATATTATAGAAAATTAAAGGATCTTAAAAGTAGTTATAAACGATATGCATAGTGATGATAAGCACTAAATCAATGTAAATTTAATAATAAAAAAGAAAGAAACTTAAACTACAAATTATTTTCAACTTTATTTTTTTTTATTTCAAAATTCATATTATAATTTTTCATTAATTAATTTTTTATTTTTATCTTAAACTGGAATAAAATTTGTCTAACAATCTTCATCAATGAGAAAGGCGAGGACCATACAGTCATGTCTTTTAAATATAAATTGTAAAAAGATTAAAACATTCTAAAAACAAACATTGAATTGCAAGAGGATTCAAAAAAGATAGTTGAAAAGTGAACTACGAAATTCATCCATCAAACTGTCATTTCCTTGGCTGACCCTCCCATCCAAAAGCTGACCACATAGAGCGTAAATAATTCCCTTAACAGCAAACGGAAGAAAAGGGGGGAGGCATTCCTTTTGTCTGACCGCTGCCCATTTCAGGGGGAACTCCTTTAAATATGTTTGCCCATCTAAGAGTAAAACTATTTCAAGTAAGCGCCACCAAGAGGGTTAAACTAGTTTTGCCTAAAGCCAGTGACCATCAAATGGTTACGAAAGTTAATCGTTACGAAAGTTAATCGTAAATTTTGAGTTCAGGGAGTTTTTATTTTGTACAACTGTACTTGGCCCGATGCTTACATTATTTCCTGGTGTGTGACAGTCATTTAGTTTATTGATCTGTGCTTTTTTTTTTCTTCCTGTATAGTTATTTATAATGTTGTGGGTAGATGTTTTTCTAATTATGTGTTTTTAATTTTAGGTAACCATTATGGAACCATCTGTTCTACTGAATGACAGCTTGCATGTTGGATGTGTAGCAGAGGTCCCGTTTGTCATTTCTTTGGACATGACTTTCCAAAATTTGGAAATTAACCATCATACTTTTAATTATTGTAGCCAGGTTGCTGGCTTTTTTTTGTTTATTAAAAGTGAAATACTGAATATGCTTTTGTTTTTGTGGATGCTTTTTTTTTCCTTTTGTTTTCTTCGTCAACCAGTGATTAGTTTAATGTTTCGATCCTTTAGGGGAACTGCGCCTGTCAACTTTGGTAATTGTTGGAATATTGTATACATAGCTTCGTTGCTACTAACTCGACTGGTTTTTCTAGTAGACTACTGGATTTTGGGTTTCTACTAATTCGTAAACGTTCTGGTTTTTGTATATTTTGGAAAATTCCCTAAAATTGAGTAAGTTTCCTTAAAAGATCCCTGTTGTGATAGTTTTTGTACAAATTACTGCTTTTTCAAATTCATGTGCGAACATGACACATAACATTTCAAGTTAATTACTATTAATCAGAATTGCATAATATTAAAGTTTTTCTGTTATTATGACCTAGAAATTCTATGTATAAGATGTTAAGTACATTTTGCAACAATTGTCTTGAAATTTATATTTCATAAAGCTATGTAGCTTGTATAACCATTTTTTAAAAATTCCCTGAAATAGTTTACAAAAAAATCATTATTTGCATAAGAAAATCTTGTGTGATTTATTGTTTGCTTGAATATTAAGATCAGTTACTAATACTTGTGAAGTTGAGCCTCCTTTACATTTACAAATTGAGACATTTTAAAATGAAGTTAATTTCAAGTCAGTTATTAGATGATTTCTGTAGGGGGATGTTTAATAATCTTGTTCACCCAATTTTATAAGTATATTCCACTGATATACTGTACCTGCCAAGTCTCCTGTTTTTTTTTTTTTTTTTTAATTTTAGGTTCTTGTATTCTATTCTTAGCATTGAAAAATTTTCCCAGGTAAGATATTCCGTGACAAAGGTACTTGTAATTCCTCAACGTTTGGTGCAATTGCCAGTACTGCAGTATGCTTGGTGTTTATAGTTTAAATAATTTTAAATGGATTAATAAGTCCTTAGATTGAGATTTATATACATAATTTTTACTTCGCACACAACTTATATTATTTCAAATTTTGGATTTTTTTTGCTTTCGTGATTATACATGTCTCAAAACTTTGTCTGCAGCCTTAGGCATAATGCTAGTAAAGGCTGTTTTATTTTTCCTAAAATTTTAACTGTTTAATTAATTGTAATTAATGTAAAGTTTTAATTTGGGGAATCTACTTAAACATACATATTCACTGGAGGTCATTGAAGACTCAATTATGTGTTCCATTGTGTATTTCAAGACAGAAATGAAGATAACAATAATTACAACAAATTTGCAATGTTTACATTAATGCTTTTTTTTTTTATTTGAAGAAAATTCTGTAGTTGTAAGGAAAACAAATCTTGGTATTAAAAACAAGTTCGAATAAGAATAATTCAAAACTGATTTTAGTCTCCAGGACTGAAGAGTAGCAAATATATAAATAATTATAAAAATAACCCCTATAATCTAGCTGCTACCAATAATAGAAATTTATTGTTCATCAAACTGTCCTCGACTTCTTTATTCCACACTTGTGTGCTCTTCTCACTCCCAGCAATGCTTAAGAAATTTATTTTTCATTTACAATCCATCTTTGGTTAGAATTAAATTAATTTAGTCTTGAGTTTTGCAACAATGCGTGGGATTTTCAGTTAGACTGCTTGCTGTAGCTTCAAGATCGTGCATTTTGAGCGCAATCTATTTATAAAATAAGTTAAACATCAGAAATAAGTATTTTATTCAAAATTGATTAATGATAAAAAAAATTACCATACTTATCCTTGGCAACTGATGGTGTATCTGTGTTAATCTTTTTAGAGAGCATTTTTACTAAATGTAGCTCAGCAATTATTAAAATAACTGCTTCAAGTTATGGTAAATATAATGTACTTAGGAACAAAACCAGTTTTTCGCTTTTTTTCGAAACATGTAAAGTATAAGGCTTGCAAGGTAACTTTTTTTTTTCTCTCAAAATTATGCCTCTCTTCAGTCATGAGGACTGAAATCAGTCTTGACACAAAATTTCATCAATATCTCTTTTCAATTAGTTTAAATTAAAATGTCCTTTCGATGAAAATTTCAATAGAGATTTTCTAAAATGTGCATATTAAAGCAGTCGAGATGGCGGAGTATGTTTAAAGATTTTTTTAATTAACGTTAAAAGAATTTCTTGAACGTCATCCAACTCGGTTTTCACCTATTTAAACTATTATAAGATGTTTTTAAGAATGTAAAACCTAAGAAACCATTAGTTTTAAATGACTTTAAATCACAAATAGTATTTATTAAAATTCAATTTATTGCTTTTAAATTCCGGGTAAAATTTCAATAAAAGTTCAAGATTATCAAGCGCTATTTCTCCTTATCTTTTTTTTTTTTTGAAAGGGGATGTACATTCGAAAGTACAAAAAAAATTTATATAAAGCGAAAGCTCAAAAGAAATCTAG